GGGCCAGGCAGCGCTGGCCATCGGGCTCACCTCGACAAGGAAGGCCAGGGCAGGCAGCTCCCAGCGGGGCCCCTCCGTGCTGAGCAGCCCCAGCAGGTGCCTTGCCAGCGGGCCATAGGAGGGGACCAACACGTGGCGCATCTCCCTGTCAGGGCAAAAAGGGAACCCTCGGCCCTGAGTCGGGTGGGCAAAGCTCTGCCAGCACTGGCTGGGCCATCCCTTGGTGCCAAGGCCCTCTATCCCACGCCCCCAGGGGCTGTGTGGGCTGCCCCGTGCCCAGGGCAGAGGTGCCAGGGGCAGTGGGGACAAGGCTGTCTCACCTGGCCAGCAGCCCCACCGCGTAGTGGTGGGTGTCAGCAGAGAGGAGCGCGTCCCAGCCACGCTTGCGCTCCACTGACACCAGCTCCTGGTCCCACTGCAGCCGGCAGAGCAGGGCCCGGATGGTCTGCACCACAAAGCTGTGTGCAGAGCAAAGGCCATGTCAGGCTGGGAGCCCTGGCCCCAGCCCCGAGGGCACGGCAGGGAGAGGGGACGGGCATGGAGCACCTGTTGGGGTGGGTGGGAAGGCCGTGTAGCTCCTGGCATCCCCTCCAGAAGGTGCTGACCTCCTGTGGCATCTGCTCAGTGCTCATAGAAACTTGGCAGAGCAGAGCCAGGAGGAGACGAGGGGCATAAACGAACAGTGCATCTTGGCACTGGAGCTCCTGGACCATCAGCCACAGGGCCAGGGTTGCCTGCAAGAAAGCCCCGTGGAGACACCCTCAGTGCCCAGAGGGAGGGAGAGGCCAGGGAGAGCCAGGGGGAGCAGCCGGCCTGCTGCCCCTGGACCTGCCCCTCAGCCCCATTTGCAGCCCAAGGCCTGAGGGAGATGCAAGGGTGGGGGAAGATGGAGAGTCGCTGGAGAGGCGACGTGGGGAGGAGCAAAGGCCACTTCCAGAAACTCACAGCCAGGGCAAAGACGTCCACGTGGTCCCCGTTGGAGGTGCACACGCTGTGCAGTGGCCAGTCCTCCATTACCCCGAGCAGCGTTGGCAGCACCTCGTGTGCTGTGGTGGCCGAGGAGGCGATGGTCCTCCACAGGATTGCAGCAGCTCTGTGGAGCCAGAGCTCTGGATCAGGGGAGTCTGGGCCTTGGGAGCTGTGGAGGCCCAGGTGACAGAGCCACGGTGCCTTGAGGGGTAGGGAGGGCACATGGCAGCAGGATCAGGGACTGACATGCCAGGGCTGGGAAGTGGAGGGGCCAGAGGGTGCTGAAACTGTCCACCTGTCTGTCAGAGCAGGAGGGACAGGCTGGATGGGGTGCTGGGTTGTAAAGGCTGGTGAGCCCTGAGGCAGCAAAGCAGCTGGGCCCTGTACCTGTCACACGCTGGGGCACAGTGCAGGAGAGTCGTCACCACGTGCCCAGGGTGTGCGTGGGCCAGCCTGCGGATGGCAATGGGCGGCCTGACCTCTGGAGACACCCGGCACGTGAGCCACTGGTGGATAGATCTGACAATGGCCGGCACCTGGAGGGGAGTGGGAGACACTTGGAGAGCTGCCAGAGCCAGCAGGTTGCCCAGCTTGCCGCAGGAAGGGCTTCCCTTCCCACCACACTGTGCTGGCCTCAAAGGCTCTGAGGGCCCAGCAGAGCCGGCTTGAGGGGCCGCAAGACCCCTGGGGAGCTCGAGCCCTGGCCACAGGCTGCTTACTTCATTCACATTGGAGACAGTTTTCTCTTCCCAAATGTCCAGACTGGGAGCATCAGTGACACTGTCCATGGGCAGGCAGTCGGTGTCTGCGATGCTCTCAGTTGTGGCGTCAGCCTTGGCCCCGACATCAGTTGGTGCCGTGTCAGAGCTTGTCTCAGCGTCGGTCAGTGCCGTGTCAAAAGTGGCTGTGCCATCCATCAGTGCCGTGTCAGAGGTGGCTGTGGCCTGGAGAGGTGCAGTGTCAGTGGCTTCTGTGCCCTCGAGTGGTGCCATGTCCAAGTTTGCTGTGCCATTAACCAGTGTCTGGTCAGAGATGTCTGTGCCACAGTTGGCTGTGCAATCAATGGCTGCCATGGTGGTGGTGTCTGTGCCATCAGTCACTGCCATGTCTGAGGTTGCTGTGCCATCGGTCAGTGCCATGTCACCGCTGGCTGCACAGTCCCTCGGTGCAGTGCTGACATCCGGCTCCGCCTCGAGCTCGGCTGCGCTGGTGTCAGGCTGTGCCGGGAGCTCGGGCGGTGCGGTCGTGGCTGTTCTGCGCCGAACTCCAATGAATTTCAGCAACCTCTGCAGGAGAAGAAAGGGCAGGGAAGAGAGGGAAGTGGCATGGAGTGCTCTGACAGCGGTGCCAGGCGGAGCAGGGACAGCAGGCCCAGCCCAGGGGGGGATGGCTGCAGGTACCTGAACTGCCCTGCGCAAGCGGCCACGGGCGCGGTCCTGCTCTTCTGGGCGGTCCCGGCCTGGATCTGGCAAAGAGCGAGCGCAGTCAGAGCTGAGGGGCCATGGGAGAGGCCAGAGAACACAGCCCAGCCCTGTGCTCCACAGGCAGGGCCAGCCCTGGGATGCCCAGGGGATGGAGCACGGATGCCGGGGGGATCAGCCTTGGACCCCCTTTCCCCCTCCCTTTCCCTGGCCATGTCCAGAGGGGACGGCAAGGGGCCCAGCTGGCTGCAGCCACCATCCCTGGGGCCCAGCTCCAGCACTCACCCTGCTGCAGTGGCTGGAAGTGCTGCACCTCCTCCTCTGCTTCCTGTGCTGGGCCAGCTCCAGGGCCTCTCCTGTTCTTCCTCTTCCTCCGGAGCAGCCGGCACAGGCCGAAGCATCCCCCCGCCATGGCACAGTCTGGTCTGGAGGGCACCTGCGGGGGAGAAACCTGGGAAAAACCCCTGGCGGCCAAGTGTGACACAATGGCCTGCGGGGCTCCTGCCACAGGGACTGGGGATGTTTTGGAAAAGCCCCTGATGGCAAAGTCTCACAAAATGGCCTCAAGGGCCACTGCCACAGGGGCTGCTGATGACTTGGAACAGCCCCTGGTGGCAAAGTCTCAACAAATGGCCTCAAGGGCCACTGCCACAGGGGCTGCTGATGGCTTGGAACAGCCCCTGGTGGCAAAGTTTCCAAAAATGGCCTCAAGGGCCACTGCCACAGGGACTGGTGACTCCTCGGAAAAGCTCCGGGTCACCAAGGCCCGTGGCCTGGCCTCGAGGGCCACTCCCACAGGGAGTGGGGTCACCTCAGAAACGCTCCGGGTCCTCAACTCCTGTGGTGTGGCCTCGAGGGAATTTGATGAAAAAAGAACTCTCAGAAACGCTCCTGGTCGACGAGAAAGGAGTTGGCTGCGAGGAGGCTCCTCACAGCACCGCTCTGTCCCGTCCTGCCCAGTCGCCCGCTCCGAGCACGGTGGCGTGGCCGCGTTGCCGCCGACACCTTTATCCCCACGGGTCACAAAGGACACCGGCCCATCCCCTGGGCGACGGCCACCGTGTCACAAAGGGCCCTGTGACACACTGCCATGGGCCCTGGGGCCTCCCCCAGGCCGGCCAACCTGCCCCAGCTCGGAAGGAATCCATTCCCAAAAGCAGCTGCAGCCGTTGGGGGCAAGGCTTGGCATCTGTGGAAAGGCAGAAGCTGTGGCTCCTTCCTGGAAGAATTTCTTCATGGAAGTCATGACCTGCAGCACAAAAACAGCTTGGGTGGGAAGGCCCAGAAGAATCTGGCATTTAATCCTCCTATAGTCAGGAAAGCCTGACTTTCCATTCCTCAGTACAAGGAGCTGAAGGAAATTGCAAACTTCCCAATGTCACTGAATTGGGAGGACCTGAGAACATCAAATATCCAGAAGTTTGCTTCCCATCTCAAACCTGCAGCTCATTCGGCTTCACATGGTCCACTGAGAGTCAACTTCAAAACATGAACAGAGGCAAAAAATCTGGGCATTGATTGGTTTGCAAACGCTTTTCTAGGAGGGGATAATAACAGGACTCTTAAAACCAGGGAAAAATAAAACTACCCAGAATGATCACAGCTGAAGCTAAAATGCATTTCAGAAGGAACAGCTCTGCAGGCTGGGAGACGCTGCTGCCATGGGATAAAAAGGGGAAGCAGCAGTGTAACATATTTATGGTGAGACATTGGCACAGATTGCCCAGAGAAGCTGTGGCTGCCCCATCCATGGAAGTGTTCCAGGCCGGGTTGGATGGGGCTTGGAGCAACCTGGTGTGGTGGAAAGGTGTTTCTGTCCATTGGAATAACATGGTCTTTGAGGTCCCTTCCAACCCAAACTGTTTTGTAGTTCTGTGCTGATATTTGGACAGGACATGAAGTGTAGATTTTATATCACTGGCATTAAAGTCCAGGCTGATGGTGCTTCTCCACCAGGGAGAGTTCAGGGAAGCCCATGGATGATGGAGATGGTACCCAGCTGGCCTGGCAATCTGTGATTCCAGTAGAACAGTGGTTCTTCCTTGTCATGGGAGGCTCAAAACCCACCCCACATCACCCTCAGCTTCCTCAGTAATAAATACTGGCAGCTGGTGTCTGTGTGATGAAAGTGTCAGGAAAGCAGGTGGGATCACAGAGGTTTTTCAGGGATCACAGTCCATGGTTTCCCAGTGCAGGATTCCCAAGCAACTGATGTGGCACAAGCAATTTGTGCCCACACAAGAGTTTGTGCTGAATGTCTCTGGTGTATTTGCTTTCACTTTAAGTCACCTACAGTGACCTTGACCAACTTGCCTGGCTCTGTCTTGGAATGACAACAGTGGAAACATGAACCAGGCCTTGTGTTCCATCTGTGCTGTGCTGCCCCTGGTCCATGGGCTTAAGGTTTCCCAGCAGTGACACAAAGCTGGTTCACACATCCGTGGTATTTTCACACATCTCCGGCAATCCTGCAAGTGTCAGTGGTCTGTTTTCAGCCCTATGGTGTTAATTTTCTGTTGATGGGAAAGAGGTGACAGAGGAAATGGCTTCAAAGCTGAATATTCAGGTCTGGATTGTTGAGGAACAGAGGGAACCTGCAGGGCAGGATGGAGAAATGAGGAGGTGAGAGGACATGGGTAAGGAAGGGCTGAGCACACATTTTTCATGGAATCCCAGAATAGTTTGTGTTGGAAATGACCTTAAAACTCATCTTATTCCTGCCCCCTGCCATGGGCAGGGACACCTTCCACTAGCCCAGGTTGCTCCAAGCCCTGTCAAAACCTGGCCTTGGACACTTCCAGGGATCCTGGGGCAGCCACAGCTTCTCTGGGCAACCTGTGCCAGGGCCTCAGCACTCTTGCAGGGAAGAATTCCTTCCCAATATCCCATCAAACCCTGCCCTCTGGCAGTGGGAAGCCATTTCCCCTTTTCCTGTCTCTCCAGGCCCTTGTCCCAGGTCCCTCTCCAGCTCTCTTGGAGCCCCTTTAGGCCCTGTAAAGGGCTCTCAGGTCTCCCTGGAGGCTGGAGTTGTGTTTTAAGCTGCTGTCACCCTCCTCGAGGTATAATGCCGTGACATCTTTGAGTCCTTGGAGGCTGCTGCTCTTGCTTCCTGGACAGTAAGCTCTCCCATTTGACCTGGGCTCGTTCCCACATGCCAGGATTGTGTTTATTTTTCCATCCTGTTGTAGCCAAGTTTGTAATTTCATAAATATCACCCCCCCCCTCCCTGATCCCTGTCCCCTCTGTAAGCCAGGGGAACAGATGGGAGGGCACAGGACCAGGAATGCCTGATGCTGCCCAAAGCTGGAAAGGAGGGAACTGGAGATTTTGAGATGAAAAGAAAACACTGATGTCTTTCCAGCTCTGTCTTTGTTCCGCTGTGCCTTCAGGCCTGGATCCCAACACCCCACCTCTGGGAGAAGGAGCCTGCGAGGCTGAGCGTGCCTGGCTGTCACTAAATCCTCGCTCTCAGAGCACAGCAGAGGCTCTTTCCCTGGTGGTTTGTGAGCTTGGGTTCATCCCAGAGCAGCCACAGGAAGCTGACAGCATCTGACAGGGTGTTGGAGGGACTGGCAGTCCGTGGACACAGAGGTGTTTGTTGGGGGAAGCAGCTGCAGCTCGTGGTGCAAAGCAACACACCCTCAGTTCCAGCTTTGTCCCTTTGCTGACTGGGGACCAGCCACACTCCAGCACCAAAGAACACCTGAGGAGCAGGAACCTGGTGTTAAACAGGGGATTGGAGTGGGAAGAAGGTGTTTTTCAATCCTTAGGGCTCTTTAACCTCCTCCCATTATTTGGCATGGAAGCACAGAATCCCAGATTGGTTTGAGTCAAGAGGGACCTTAAAGACCGTCTTGTTCCACCCCCCTGCCGTGGGCAGGGCCACCTTCCACCAAAATCAGTTTGTTCAGGAAAATTCAGACCTAATACACGCACTGGGGTTTGGGATGGATGATCTTTAAGGTCCCTTCCAAGCCTTAACATTCTGTGATTCTCCCTGAAAGTAAAAGTGGCTACTAGGAGATGGCAAAACCAGCAGCCAGGAGCAGAAAAGATATTGCAGAATTCTTGTCTGATTTTATTGCTATGTGTAGATTAGGTCAAGGGTAATCTGCTGCCTTTGTTAATCCTGGAGAGGTTAAATTGTATCAGGACTGCTGCGCACAGAGCAAAGAAGAAAACAGCAGTACTTTTAAAAATAGCATCCATTTAAGTTACGTAAATCCTTATAAATACAAGAGAGAAATCAGTTATTCTATAAAAAATAAACCAGAGCATGTGTTCTTGAAGCACCAGCACTGCATCCTCATGTTAAGGACTTCAGCTACAGAGTCCTCATAAATATACCTGCAGAATTCCTCTTCATTCTGACCATAAACAGGGGTCAGAATGTGTATTTTGCACAGAAACAGAAGGTCTGATACTTGAATCTCAACTGGCCGTTTGATTTTTGTCAACCTCAACCTGCCCCCTCCCTCTGCAGACACCTTTCAGTGACACACAAATGCTGTTGGCATCCTCAAAGCTCTTTAGCAAGAACTGAAGCAGTTTGGGTGGGGGTTTGTGTGTGACACTGTCACTGCTTTCTGCCTGTACATTTAATTTGTGTTTGACTTGAAAAAAAATAAAAAGGAGGGACAAAACCCAGCCTTAAAGGGACAGCACTGAGGGTCTGTGTGCTTGAAGGTACCACTCAGAAGTAAGAGAATGGCCTTTGCTGTCCTCTTTGCAGTTGTCTGAGTGGTGTTGGAGTGACTAAATAATGATGTCCCCGAGATGTTTGTGTCACATTAATAATAATTTCCACAATTGGAAATTATGGTTGTGCTGCACCTGCCTGAACAAACACTCACATATGTGTTTGTGTGTGTATAAGTATAATATATATATTTTTTTTATTTTTTCCCCAGTCGTGACTCTCCTGTGCCTGTAGCTGACAACAGCCATGTCAGCCCAAGGGGATAGATGGGTTTCTTCCTTTGTTTTCCTGCTCTTCTGTGCTTCCTCCATCCCAAGGCCGGGAATCGCGGGGCTGCGGCAGGAGCCGAGCCCCCAGCGCTACTTCAGTGGCTTGGAAGCTGGACGAGCATCCCTGGCCTTTTTCACCCCTCATGGTAAGTGTTTAATGGTGGGCACTGACATCAGCCTGGGGCTCAGGAAGGCTTGGATGAAAGTGGAACAATCCCAGAGTCATGGAATGGTTTGGGTTGGAAGGGACCTTAAAGCTCATCTAGTTCCAACCCCCTGCCATGGGCAGGGACACCTTCCACCATCCCAGGTTGCTCCAAGCCTTGTCCAACCTGGCCTTGGACCCTTACAGGGATCCAGGGGCAGCCACAGCTTCTCTGGGCAACCTGTGCCAGGGACTCACCACCCTCCCAGGGAAGGATTCCTTCCCAATATCCCATCTAACCCTGCCCTCTGTCAGTTTGAATCCATTCCCCCTTGTCCTGTCACTCCAGGCCCTTGTAAATAGTCTCTCTCCACCTTTCTTGTTTCTCCTTCAGGTACTGGAAGGCCCCAGTTAGGTCACCCCAGAACCTTCTCTTTTCCAGGCTGAACAATCCCAATTCTCTGGGCCTTTCCTCAGGGAGAGGTGCTCCATCCCTCCAATCAGCTTGTGGTCCTCCTCAATGAAGAGCCAATTCTTGAGATTTTTAACCCCAGAGGGAGCTGGTCAAGCTCAGTGTTTGTGCATCTCCAAGTGCTCAGAGCGACAGAGACCTCCTGGGATGGGTTCTTTCCTGGCTGTGTCCCCAGGAACACCCTTGCAAACCTCTTCATTAATTTTCTGGAATATTTTCTGTAGGTACCATGGAACAGAAATCCAGTCTCCTAAGGAACTCTCCCCTCAAAGGGGCTGAGTTTCTCTTTCATACCAGGGGAAGGGTGATCCCTTACATGCAGGAGAACTAAGGGCTGTCATGGATTAGGAGGAGATCTTTGGCCTTGTTTTGTTGTTCTGCCATTTCGTGATCCCCGGGTGTGATTCCCAAAGACACCGGTGTGGGATGAGGCACCAGCACAGCTCCCAGGTCTCAGTGTGTGGCCGGAGGATGCTCCTGAGAACTTGCAGAGGGTTTGTTGTGTTTCAGTCTCTCCTGGTGCCCAGCCCTTCCTGGAGCAGATTGAGAGCTCGGCCGAGGCCCTCCAGGACTATGGCATTTCTGTGGTGAAGGTAAAGGGGCACAGAGGGAAACTGCTGGGCAGGATGGAGGGAGGAGGATCTGAGAGGAGATGGGTAGGGAAGGGGTGAACACATTTTTCATAGGATCATGGAATCACAGAACAGTTTTGGTTGGGAGGGACCTTAAAGACCATCTTCCATCCTCCTGCCATGGGCAGGGACACCTTCCACTAGGCCAGGTTGCTTCAAACCCTGTCCAATCTGGTCTTGAACACTTCCAAGGATCCAGGGGCAGCCACAGCTTCTCTGGGGAACCTGTTCTGATTTCCATGATGGATGGAGTTGGTTCACTTCTTTTCAGCTTGGTACTATAAATATTTCATATGAAAGAGTTTTTATCTGAAACTTTATGCAGATTTAGATGAGGAAATTAAAATTTCAGTTAAGTATATTTAGACTATAAGAAGCGCTTATATATATATATGTATATTTATATATATATTTAATTTACAGCTACAGGCCAAGTTTAATAAGCAAGCAGTAATCTGTCACCTGAATATTCTGGGCAGATCATGGCATCTCTTGATCCCATCTGAGCCAAATTAGCAGGCTGAGCTGGAGAACTGAAGTACAAACTCCAGTCTCCATCTCTGTACTCCATTTTATTGAATTTTCTCTCCTAGCAGTCTTGGAAAGGCTGTGTTTGCACTCTTGAATTGAAGAAAGCTGTAGTGCTCTATGTATGTAGGGGCTGAATGTCTAATGACATGCCTTTGCTGTCTAGGTTAATTGTCCCAAAGAGGATGTCTCAAGATATTGTGGAAAAGAAAATGCCTTGAGGAAAGCCTACCTGTTCAGGTGAGGGGGATTTCTGGGGATTTCTGGGCACTGCACTGGGATCCCTTTCTAGTGCAAATGTTGGAAGGAAAGACTGCCAGAGGTCAGAGATGTCTGTGGAGGGAGAGAGGAGCCATGAGCACAGCAGTGACCTACAGAGTTTAGCAAAAAGTGCCCCCAAAAGGTCCAACACAGGCAAAGCAGATGCTTTGTCCTCAGTGTGAAACCTCCCATCCTGCCCATGTTCCTTGGAGCAGCAGAGGGATGAGCTGTGGGATGAAGCCACAGGAGAAGTCCTCCATCAGTGTTCTCCTGTCCCTGTGGCCTCCTACCACCAAGTCCCCCAGGAGTAACACTCAGACCACGAGGTTTTGGGTCTAGCCCTGGAAGGAAACACTCCTTGGTGCTCTTCCTGTTGGTGTGGGTGACTCCTCTGCCCTGGGTCTCTGTAGGCTCCTGTATCATCTCAGTTCTCACTGACTGTTATACTTACAATCAGAGAATCATTTAGGTTGCAAAAGACCTTTAAGACCATCAAGTCCAACCATTCCCCCAGCACTCCAAGCCCACCACTGACCCATGTCCCTGAGTGCAGCAGAATCCTGCTCAACTGATGGTACGTGGGCTTGAACAATTCCCAGCTTGTGTCAAAGGCACCTTGAGCCATGCTTTGTCATTTCTCCATCGTCCTCCCTATCCTTCTGTGCCTGTCTTGGCTTCAGAGAATTCCCAGGCTCCCTTATGCCAAGTGGAATGAATCTCTCACAGTTCCTGTGGTGGTTCTTTCTTCCCTCCCCAGAGGAAACATCCTGATCCGAGAGTTCCCCACCGATGCCCTGTTTGATGTGAACTCCATCGTCGCCAACGTTTTGTTGTAAGTACAGACCACATCCATCCCTGTGAAATCCTTCATTTCCCACTCCCACTTGCTGACAGGACATTTTGCCTACATACCAACCCCAAGTATTCCAGAGGCTGCTCTCAACCAAGCAGAAGGTTTGGCTTTGCTTCTGTCTTTGATGTGGTTTGACCCTGTTAAATCTTCCTCCTTCATGTGAATCACCAGCACACATCTGGGCAGCCCTGTTTGGCTGTGAATCTCCAACCTGCCAGCAAGAAGCTGGAATTTTACCTTTTTTTTTCCCCCATCATGGTTCTGTGTCTGCAAATTTACTCTTCAAACAGTTGTCAATGAGATTTTTTCTTTTCTGTCTCCTCAGTGCCCTGCTCTTTAATGAAGTCAAATATGTTGAAACGCTGGCAGACCTTCAGAACATTGAGAATGTGTTGAAAGGGAAGTCAAACATGGTCTTTGCCTACGTACCAGCTACTGGGACAGCAGGTACTGACACTCAGCTTTCCATCTTTGCTCTCCTGCCAGAGCCTTTTTTGACTGAGGTGCACGGGGGCTGAGTTTCTGACCCAAAATGCTGCAAATGGAAACCTGAAAGGGCCACCCAGCCACAAGTTCTCCACTTCCATATGTCTTGCTGTGTTTCCAAAGGGATGAGTTGCACCAGAAGGGTTTTGCTGGGAGCAAAAACTTTCAGAGACTTGGAGAGGGAAAGCAAGTTGCCGTCTTCAAAATAAATAAATCCAGCTCTCTGGTTCTGCAGTGGAATGGATTCACAAACACCACCTGTGTGTTTGCTGGGGATCAGGAATGCTGATTGCTCCCTTCCCTTCACAGTGTGTCTTCAGACAGCTGTGGCTTTGTGCAGAGAGCTTCTAAGTGCCTGGGAATTGATATTTACACCTGGGAAGGACGAACCAGGAAATCTGGAGGGAGCAGAAATGAGCTCATCTTGCCTTTCCCTTTCCCTTTCCAGAGCACAGAGCTGTGATGGAGGCGGCTTTTGTCTATGGGACCATCCACCAGTTTGTTCTGACCACGGAGGCAGCACTGCTGAAAGCCACTGGGTATGTCCAAACACACCCCTCACCATGGAGAGCTGCTTCCCTGCAAAGGTTTGCTGCACTCCTGGCTTCTCAGATTCCCAGGTCAAATCTGGGGTGGTGTTAGGATGCCAAGGGTGGACAGTCAGATCTGTTTTGCTTTTCCAAAAGCAGCTCCTGCTTATGTTCCTGGCCTTGGAGTAGCTGTGCTGGTTTGGGTCTCTCATGATGGAAAAGACATTGAGGGGCCAGAGTGTGTCCAGAGAAGGGAATAGAGCTGGGAAGGGGCAGGAGCACCAGGAGGGGCTGAGGGAGCTGGGGGGGCTCAGCCTAAAGGAAAGGAGGCTCAGGGGGGACCTTCTGGCTCTGCAACTCCCTGACAGGAGGGGGGAGCCGGGGCGGTGGGGAGGGTGGGGTCGGGCTCTGCTCCCAGGGAACAAGGGACAGGATGAGAGGAAATGGCCTCAATGTGTACCAGGGGAGGTTTAGATTGGATGTTAGGGAAAAAATCCTTCATGGAAAGGGTTGCCCAGCCCTGGCACAGCTGCCCAGGGCTGTGATGGAGTCCCCATCCTTGAAAGGATTTCAAAGCCCTGTGGATGTGGCACTCGTGGCCATGGGTCAGTGGTGGCCTTGGCAGTGCTGGGGGAACGGTTGGACTCGATGGTCTTGGAGGGCTTTTCCAAGTTTAATAATTCTATATCGATTTACCTGGGATTTTGTCACAGGTGGCACCAGGGCAGGCACCAGAGTAGTCCTTCCCGAGGTGCCATCCCATCCTTGTAGGATATTAGGGACAGGGTGCTGTGGCTGCCACTAGATGGCACGGTTGTCGTTTGACAGGAATTGGCTTAATTCTCCTTAAAGCATCGAGGGCACCAGCGGCCACATCCTGAGCTGCTGGAATGGTGGGAGCTTTGCCAACAGGAACAGCTTTCAGCAGTCAGGGCAGCAGGATCTGGGGGCTTAATACTACCCTCTGCTCTTCCATATGTTAAATCCCTTAAGATCTGCCAGATATTACATCCCTTTGCAAACACGGTGATCCCTGTTTTAAGGTGGGGAATGTTTGCATAGGAAAAAACACCTGACATCCCAAAGTTAACCCACCAGCCAACACCAGTGATGATGGTGTCAGAGCAGGAACAACTAAGCAGGGAGCCATCCAGGGAATTTGATCTCACTGCTTCCTTTGGCACAGCCCGAAACAGTACTGTTCAAAAGGTGGAGTATTCTTTGTACAGCCTGTGAGATGTCACCAGTTTGGTGAAAGACATGAGCAAAGCTGTAGATTTCAGCTCTTCTCCTCCTGCCAGGGTCTCCATTGCACTGGCAAGGCTGTTCCCACCGAGAAAAGCTTTATTAGTGTCCTTCTCAAGCTGGGTCAATTATTTTGGGATTGGGATCTTTTGGGAGCACTTGGTCAGTGAGGGTCAGCACAGTTCCAAAAGGCACCTGGACGTGGCTGTACGTGTCAATAGTAAGACTCTTGAGGAGGTCATAGAATCATAGGATCACAGAATGGTTTGGGCTGGAAGGGACCCTCTTTCTACCCCCCTACCATGGGCAGAGACACCTTCCACTAGCCCAGGTTGATCCAAGCCCCATCCAACCTGGCCTTGGACACTTCCAGGGATCCAGGGGCAGCCACAGCATCTCTGGGCAACCTGTGCCAGGGCCTCCCCACCCTAAGAGCCAAAAATTTCTTCATAATATCTAATCTAACCCTACCCTCCTTCAATTTAAGGCCATTACCCCTTGTACTGTCATTCCATACCTCTCCAGCTCTTCTAGAGCCCCTTTAGGCACTGGAAGGGGCTCTAAGGAGGCTCCTCTTCTCCAGGCAAAACACCCCCAGCTCTCTCAGCCTGTTCCACAACCCTGTCAAACCCTGAACTTGAGGATCACCTGCCCTGTAAAACATGTCAGCAAACCTGGTCCTTCTGTCAGGGCATTTTCCAGCCCTGCTCAGGGTTTTGTTTCTCCTCACAGCAGTGATGACCCCGACGTATCCTCTGCCTGGCTGCTGTTCTGCCACTGCCAGAGGGCCACGGACCCGGCACAGCCCTGCAGGAGAACAGCCCTGGCACAACCCCTGACCCTGCTCAACATCCACAGGCACCTCAAGCTCATGGGGGCTCCCTTGGTGGTATGATGGGAACAAGGATCAGCCTGGCTGGGGGTGTCAGGGCAGCTGGGGTGGGTGACAGAGTGAGGGGGGTGAGAGCAGAGGGCAAAGCTGAGCGTGAGAATCCGCCCTTTCCCCAAAAAGTTAATGGCAAAGCTCCCAGGTTGGGTCCAAGCAAGTAACAGGCTTGGACAAGCATCTGGTCCAACTGCCTGAGCAATTCAGGGCTGGCTGAAAGTTAAAGTAAATTACTGGTGGCATTTTCCAAATGACTCTTAAACACTGACCACCTCCATATGAAGCTTGTCCCAGTGTTTGACAACGCTCTTGGTAAAGAAATGCTTCCTATTGTCCTGTCTAAACCTCCCCTGATGCAGCTGTGAACCATTTCCACATGTTCTATCCCTGGATGTGCTGAAGAGATCAGTGTTTCCCCCTCAACATCCCCTCAGGAAGCTGTGGAGAGCAACAGGGACATCCCTCAGCCTTCTTTTCCCAAACTAGACAGTCCCAATGTCCTCAGCTGCTCCTGTAGGCTCCCCACGGGAAGCTCAGCACTTTGTGGAATTTGATATCAGTCCTTCATGCCCTGAGGAGCACAAGGAACAGGAGGTTCCCTCCTATTTCCTCCTTCTACGGGGCAGGAGAAACTTTTATCAGCCTCCTGTTCCCACTGGTCATCTCTGCCCATCAAGAGGATGAGCAGATGAACTGGGAAGTGCCTCCTTCAGCCAGTCTCCTGGATTAGGCCCGTGGAGCCCTCAAGCAGCTCCATGCTGTCATGAAGCAGCTTGTCCAAGGCAGGAAGGGAGAGGATTCCAGCTGTTGCATGTTGTGGCTGGGATTTTCCACCTGCCCCGGGGAATGGATGCCAGGTGAATAAAAGTGAGTGGGGATTTGACATCTGGAGTTGCTGAGCCATAAAAAAACAATATGCAAAATAAGGCCCAGGTTTTTACCAGGGAAAGTCATGACGTGTTGGAACAGCTTAACTGGGATTGTTTGGGTTCTGCTTCCATACATGTTTTGGAATTGGGGTTGGAAGCTTTTTCTTGAGGATCTCCTCATTCCTGTGGCTGGGGAACACTTGGTGGCTTGGGCTGTGCAGGAGAAGAGCTGAGGTACCTAAAAATTGTGGAGCTGTGCTGCAATATAACCATGTCTGCTCTCCAGACAGAGGTTGCTGAGGACCCAGAGAAGGTCTCCACTGTCCACTTACAGCTCGGGCTACCCCTGGTGTTCATCCTGAGCCAGAGGGAGACCTACGAGGCCGACAGGAGGACAGCAGAGTTTGTGGCCTGGCAGCTCTTGGGCAAAGCAGGAGTTGCCCTTTTGTCCAGGTATTTCTCTCAAGTGTTTTGGGACTCTCCTTCATTTTTGTGGTGTCTCCAAGCTTGGTTACTCCAGGATGTCAGTTGGTGGGCTTAAATTTGGATGGGAGGCAGTAAAACCAGGCTATATCCTGAGAATGTCACATTTAAGGACTTGTCCAGAATCAGATTAGCTTTGAAGTGTTGCTGGCTTAGAAGTGGAAAAACAATCAGACTGAGAGAGATTTTGGAAAGGAAGCTTAGCACTGGTGGAAGGTTGTATTTTACCCTCCAATTAAGGGCAGAAAGAGGAGGGGTGACATGTTGCCCCATCTAATGTCCACTGTGTATTTTGGAAGGGACCTCGTGGATTTGAACGTTCTGCACCGGTCCAACGTCGCGCTGAAGACACCAGATGAGGTTGGACACTGGATTTCTTCACTGTACAACTCTTATTTCCCTACCTGGGCACGGTGCTCTGGAGAGGTGTTGGGGTGTTCCTTGGCTCTGTTGTTATTTGACAGCATTCCCTGAAGCTCAAGGGGAAGAGCCTTTCACAAGATGCACGTGTGTGTGCAACAGGTTGTCCAAAAAAACTGTGGATGTCCCATCCCCAGGAGTATTCCAGGCCAAGTTGGATGGGGCTTGGAGCAACCTGGGCTAGTGGAAGGTGTCCCTGCCCATGGCAGGGGGTTGGAACTGGATGATCTTTAATCATCCTTCCAACCCAAACCATTCCATGATGATTCTGTGATTTGGAGTTGCCCAGGTTGGGTGCTGCACAGCAACTGTGCCTGATGGGAAAGATAAAATACTGAGTTTATTTTGGGTTCAAAACATAGGGTGACACCTCCTTTACACCTTAAGGCAACACAAGGTTGTGAACTATATCCAAGTGCGAATTCCCCAAAGATTTGGGCTTCTAAAGGTCCTTATCCCTTTGAGAAAGGTGTCAAAAGACAGGAGAGGGAATGAGTGTGAAACTAAGAGCAAACAACCAAAGGTCTGTGCTGAGCTCATGTAACCAAGTGCCTCTGGCAGTGATCTGAGAAAAGGGCAGGGTGTGAGTTGAATGAGGTTGATCAAGATGAGCTAAACTCTGGAGGGGCCTGACCCAGCTTGTGAGGGAGATGGAACTGGGTGCTGACAGATTCCAGGGAGCACACATTGCCCTCGATTGCCTGAACTGTCACACTTGGGATTGCAGAGACGCAGGATCAGACCTGAGCATCCCCCCAGGGCTTCCCATGCCCTGGTGATGGATGTGCATGTTGTGTTGCTCCTCTCAGAGCCCAGGGGAGTTGCCAGCAGTTTGTCTTTTCTCTCAGTTCGTGATAAAATTTCCCTTTTCTCTCCAGTGCCTTTGTCTGAGCCAGAGCCAGAACTGATTTTAAGCCGACAAGGTCTCATTTCTGAGAAATACATTTTGCTCTTTCCTTTCCATGGGCTGGCAGCCCCTGTACTCTTGGGAATACTCTTCCTGGCTGAGCTCCATGAGATAAAGGATATTTTAGGCCAGTTTCCCAGGCTGTGGTGGGCTGCTTGGACCCAGCCTGACCCCCCTAATGAGGAGATATCCAAGTGGACCCTGTACTTTGATGCTCTCCTTCCCTGCTTGGCCACTGGGATTTCTCCTCCAGTCTCCTGGATCTATGTTAAGTTGCTGGGAGGTGGAGCTGGTGTTCACTTTCACCACAGGATCCCACTTAGCCACATTTACTTCCTCACAGGGAGACATCAGCCTGGACTGAGAAAAACTCATGCACAGGTGAAATTGGGCTAAAGAAACATAAATGAGATGTTCCCCTGTTTTGGCAGCTTTAGGGATCTGTTGGCATATCCTAAAAATAAGTAGTTGGGTGATGGTGCCCCATGAGTTTGATTTGCAGACAGAATAGGCAGAAAGTGATGTTTTGCTCCCACTGGTTTATTCTGTTTTCCACAGGGAATGCCAATCCAATACCTGGTCTTGGAAGACACTGATGAAGTTATAACCCTGGTGGAAGATAAGAACAAGGTCAAACAAATCCAGGAGGATGAAGAGAAGGAAGAGGAGGAGGAAGAGGAAGATGAGGATGAAAAAGAGAGTAACAATCAAGGTGTGCAATTAAGCAGTGAAAAGCTGATTGTCATCAAGCAGGACGTGCAATCAGCATCTGCTAGAGACACGTTAAAACAGAGAACACTTGCAAACTATCACAGTCACATCATTGTGGCCACAAAATGGCTCTCTCATTCTCTGAAGTCACTGAAATATGACAGACAAGCACAATTTTTAGGGGAAACACCAGGGAGAAAAGTCAGCAGCCGTGAGAGGAACAGTCACTGAAGTGCTGAGTGAGGAACTGGAGTGCTTGTGCTGGGATGCACCAGAGTCAGAGACATGAGGGGGTTTAAAGTGCACCCAAAACAGTGTCCTCTACAAGCATCTGAAGGGCCTCAGAGGTACCAGTCCCTTTGGAAGGGGTTAGAGACATGTTTTTGTAACAGCAGTTCCAGACTTGCCCTCTCCAGGGAGAAAACGCTGGTCCCTGCAAAGCGTAATAGAAAATGCTTTTGTTCTCCATTCAGAATTGGGTGTGTTTTCAAAAAAAAAAAATTGGGGCAGGATCTCAGAGGAGCCAACATGCTCAAAGAATAGTGTTCAAATCCAAGGGCAGAAGTGATGTGAAGTGGGATATGTGCATTTTGATGGGTTTGTCTGTGTGTCTGTCCCTCCTCTCCCCACACGTCTCTGCTGGGAGGTTCTGCCTTACAAAAACATGCTGCTGGGGTGGCTCAGGGGGCTGCAGTTCCCCCTGCCCTGTGCACACCTGTGGGTCCCTTGCAGACATCCAGGATGACCAGGTGGTGGAAGCAGTTTCCAGGGACAAGAAGCGAGAGCTGCCCCTGGAGCAGGTCCTTGTCCTGACAGAGGAAAACTTCCACTCTTCCCTCTCAGAGGCTGCCCAGACAGTGGTGCTGTTTTATGCCAGTTGTGAGTATGAAACATGGCCTGGCTGACCCTTCCCTAACCTTGGGGTGCTCACCATGCTCTCCAGGATCCTGGAGACAGGTTTAAACCATAAAGAAATGGCTCATTTTGCCCTGTGTGTCTCCCACCACCAATAGCAATGAGATTAAATCAGTTCTTTTCAGTTGACTGCTAATGTGTGATAACATCCTCCAGGACAGGAGATATCCATGTTCGTAGGGTTTTAACCTTCATTGTATAAGGAAAAAATATAGGACAAGAGGGGAAATTGTGGGCTCATGGGATGGCCTAGGCAGCCTGTCTGCTGAAACATAAAAAAACCCCAGAAGTCCAGAAGCATAAAGTTCGATTTTCCTTATTATTTCAAGTCAGAGCTTGAAGCACCTCAGGATGCAGAGACTCGTAATGTGACATTGTCAGAGAGCAAGGGGGGGGGCTGTGTGTCACCTGCCTGTCCCTCAGGGTGTGTGTCCCCTCTCCTGTGTTCCAGGGGAAGCTGTGTCCCTGGCAGTGCTGCGCTCTTACTCCGAGGTGGCCGATCACCTGAAAGGTAAAGTGCCCTGGGGCTGAGGGATTTACACTGCTCCTGCTCCTGGCAGTAGGAACCTGGAGGCTGGGAGGATATTGGTGATACCTCACCTAGAACACACTCATTTTTTTTCCCCTCAAACTCTTAAGGAAGGCATATCCATGTTGCTTAGGAAGAGTCCTTCGTTTCTTGTTTAGGGATGTTGGCAGAGTCTCTTCTCCCAGGGAACAAGTGACAGGATGACATGAAATGGCCTCAAGTTGTGCCAGGGGAGGTTTAGGCTGGATGTTAGGGAAAATTTCTTCATGGACAACCAAGGTTGCCCAGCTCTGGCACAGCTGCCCAAGGCAGTGGTGGAGTCCCCATCCCTGGAAGGATTTAAAAGCCATGTGGATGTGGCATGGGTCATGGGTCAGTGGTGGCCTTGGCAGTGCTGGGGGAACAGTTAGACTCGATGATCTTAGAGAGCTTTTCCAACCTTAGTGATTCTATGATTCCAGATGCCCCATCCTTGGAAGTGTTCAAGGCCAGATTGGACAGGTCTTGGAGCAGCCTGGGGTAGTGGAAGGTGTCCCTGTCTGTGGCAGGGCTGGAACAAGATGGTCTTTAATGCCCCTTCCAATCCAAACCATTCTGTGATCCTGTTCTGATGATGTTGGTGGGCACAGTGACTGCACAAGGAAGAGTTTGGGAAGACTCAGGACACAGCACCAGTGCCAGTGGGTGACACGGGTGGGCTTTGGATCCAAGAGGAGCAAACAGCAGGGATTGTGGGCTGTGACATGGAAACAGGGTCCCGTTTGAGCCCCTCAGGCCTTGGTCTGCACAGGCCAAGGAGATGCACTACATCTGCCCAGCTGGGTGGCACATCAGCTCTCCTGTCCTTGGAATTACTTGATCTGGAAAGGAGCTGTAATGAGCCCTGGCTTTGGAGGAAGGCAGGACAGACAGGTGTGGGCAGGCCCAGATCCACTGGGCAGGATGGTGTCAGAGGGAGGATTTACAGTGATGGTGCTTCCAGGACCTGGAGGCTGATTTGTGTGGGAAATCTCACAGGTGGCCACAGAACTCCATAAATAACATGTGATGGTGAAGAATCAGCAGCACTTAAAGACAGCACATGGGAATAAAGGCAGGATGAGGTGATCCTTCAAGAGGGTCTGAGCAGTTCCTGAGCAGTGTCAACACCAGTTCAGCTTCATTCAGGTCCTCAACCCCATCCCACTCTGGTTTGTGGAGAGAAGTGGGTTCTTACATGAGCTGAATCTTTTCCAGGAGTGCCTCTTTCTCCCCTGGGCTGCAGGAGACACTGAGGTGGCTTCATTCCCAACTCCCTGCAGCGCAGCAGGGAAGTTGCAAGGATCCATGTAAGAGCTGTTCCAGCACCTCTGGAGGTGCCTGGTGCCTTCTTCTGGTTTTTCTTCTCCATCAAGGCTCATTTTTCCTGGTGATAGAACTCCCCTGGGACTGGACACTGTGTCCTGCAGAGGATTCAGCAGTGGGGATGTGGATGGAGTCTGCAGAGGACACAGCCAATTTTCTGGGAAGCAGATGCAGTGGGATAGGCTTCCAAGAAACCCTCCTGGGAATGCTGTGGACAGTGCTGTGGTTTGGATGAAAGCAGTTCTGCATCCACAGTTTGCATGGAGGGAAAATCACCAGCAGCTTTGATCTGGACTGAAATCCCGGGAATAAACAGGAAGGGTCAGTAGGGGCTGTTGTTGTTGTTAGAAATATTATGGTTGTTGATGGTTTGGGGTTTCTTTTGGACTCCCCAGCAGCCAGACCAGCTGGAGGAGTGACATGGAGAGTCCATGGATAAAAATTGGCCTCATCCCGAGCCAGTGGCCAAACCTGGGCAGATTCTGCACTACCAGGATTTCACCATGAGTTTGTTGAGTCACTTGATAACAGTCTCAGCCACAGACAGATGAACTGGTTGGGGTCAGGGCCTTTCCTCTGTGATCAGTTAGGTCCCACCAAACACTCCCAGGCCAGATTGTGACCTATGGAATGACTCCAGTTTGCTTTCTCTGCCACGACCTCAGAGGGGATGGAGCACGGCTGCGTTAGTGGATCTGGAGATCCTTTGTCTCTGCTGCTGAGGGAGCCCCAGGGAACTGGGAGGACCAGCTCCCAAAGGAGCTGGAAGACCTCAAAGGATAGTGGTCCCTGAGCTCTCAGAGATGGCTGGGATGCAAGGACAGAAGTCTGGATCAGGCAGAAGACCTTGAGCTGTGCAGAACTGAGAATAAAACACAGGGTATGGCTTGGGGCGGTCTCTCAGCTCCCCAGGAGTGCTGGTATTCCTGCCTGCTCTCCTGGGTGGAGCTTTCTTCCCAAGGGCTGGGAGGACCAGCTGTCTGAGGCATGAGTCACCCCAGCTTGAGGCACCATTATGAGTTGCAGAACCAGGTCCTGCTTTTGATCCCAATTCCTTGTGCAAAGTGGCACTGAGAACAGGCCATATGGGACCAAGGCACGGGAATGGAGGAGATTGGAGACTGGAATGACCCCATGAATCATCCCATAACAGATGTTCAGCAGATCATCACAAAGTGAAGTTTACAGTCCCAAAATGTTCTCTCTTTTGTTCTCCCTCAGTTTAGCTGAGCTGAGCACATTTTCTGCCCTTAGAGCAAGAACGAGCCATTCCCAGTGCAACTGGGGCTCCTGCAGCTCTGGTTTGCTGTTGCAGGATGGGAATTTTTGGAAGCAGGACCCTTGAGCCAAGAGGCTGTGAAGGTGAGACAGTGCTGAGCATTTCTTAGGTGTATCATTGGCCTTTTTTTTTACAAAGAAGAGGGGAAACCCACATCTAAGAAGAGCAACGTATCGTGGTGAAAAATGGTTCTGCTTCCCTCCTCTGTGCTTGTGAGGTCTTCTTGAGCAATGAATTCCAAAGACACGGGGTGAAGTCGTAGCTCAAAGGCATGAAAATCACCTGCATGATTTAGCAATGTGTATCCATGGAGCCTAAATCTGAAGTGAGGATTTAGGAGACCACTGTGTGATGTTTTCTGGGTAGTTGTTTCCCATTCCATGTTGGATTCCTCCTCTTGAAGTGTGGCACTTCAGCACATAACTTCTCTTTCATCTGGACCAGCTCTTCAGGTGAGTTGGTTTTTTAATACAACTGTGGAATTCTTTAGGTTGGAAAAGACCTTGAAATCATCAAGTCCAACCATTTCCCCTGCACAGTCAAGGCCACCACTGACCCGTGTCCCCAAGTGCCACATCCACATGGCTTTTGAAATCCCTCTGGGGTGGGGACCCCACCACTGCCCTGGGCAGCTGTGCCAGGGCTGGACAACCCTTTTGAGGAAGAAATTTCCCCAAATATCCAATCTAAACTTCCCCTGATGCAGCCTGAGGCTGTTTCCTCTTCTCCTGTCCCTTGTTCCCTGGGAGCAGAGCCTGACACACCCCCTCCAGGCTCCCCCCTCCTGTCAGGGGGTTGCAGAGCCAGAAGGTCCCCCCTGAGCCTTCTTTTCTCCAGGCTGAGCCCCCCCAGCTCCCTCAGCCACTCCTAGTGCTCCAGAACCTTCCTCAGCTCTGTTCCCTTCTCTGGACACACTCCAGCACCATGTCAGTCCTGCCTTCCAAAGGATTAGAAGTTTCTGGGATTCTTGTTTTCTCTCATTCCTTATAATATTGATGGTTTGTCTTGTCCTGGTTTTCTAATACCCCTTGGACAGAGGTTCTCGCTGTTGCTGGGTTTAGCAGCACCAAAAATCACAGGACAGTGGGATTTTGTGTTCTTCTTTCATCTTTCTTCCCACCCATCGGTGCCCACAGGGCTGGACACACCATTAAAACCCTTCCACAGCTTCTCTGCCAAAAATACTTATGGAATCACAGAATAGTTTGGGTTAGAAGGGACCTTAAAGCCCATCTCATTGCACCCTGCCATGGATGCAATGCCTTCCACAAGCCCAGGTTGCTCCAAGTCCCGTCCAACCCGGCCTGGAACACTTCCAGGAATGGGGAGTCCAGTCTCTGGGCAACAAGAGGTTGTGCAACACTCAGCTGTGTTTGGTTTTCAGTAGCTTGTTTTGATATTTGGTCAAACCTCCCCACCTGGGAGTGGGTTGTTGCTTGCCCTTGATCTCACTGTCCCCTCCAGAGCAGACTTTATGTACTGTTAGATTTTATTGTTTCTTTCTTCCTGGCAGTTTCCAGTCAAAACTTCTTTGGGTTTTTCCTCAGCAGGCATGTCTTCCAAACCTCTCCAGATTCTCATTTGCTTAAGCCTTTCCAAAAAAGTGTTTCCCAGCCTGGCTCGCTGGGCTCAGCAGAGGTCTCTCCAGGACAGAAAAACTCAATTTTCCTCCCATGCCTTTCAGATGCTGTTGGGAGTTCACCCCTTTTCTGCAGCACTGATGGTATCTGTGCGTCCTGCTTCTCCTCATGGAATGCTGCTGTCCTTACACTTTGCCCTCCAAATTGCTTTCTGCCCCTCTGGGCTTTGGATCATTTGGAGATTGGATATGTTTTATTCCTTCAGCCAGGCCTTTGATGAAAACAGTGATCAGAATCTAAACCCAGAACTGGGAGAGAAGAAAGATTGGCTGGTTTGATCTGTTGGGAAATCCTCATCACCTGCCCCAGCCCTGGTTTCTGAAGGACACTGGTCTGCATCCATGTGTGTACTTGTCTCTAGGTTTCACTCCATCTTTCCCATGTAGCTGTTGAATCCTGTTCAAAGAAGTTAAGGGAAGGAGGGAAGATTTTTGAGATAATCATTCCTGCAGTGGGAATGGACGACTGCACAGAGCCTGGCTGTCCTTGGCCAGGGCTGTGAGTGGGTGGGAGGCAGATCAAGGGGGGCTGGAAGCCAAGGAGGGGGAGGGAGGGAAGCTGGTGATGGTTCACCTGTCTGGGTTAGGTCAGGCTTAGCCATGGAGCAGCAGCAGCATGTGCTGGTCTTCACCCAGCCTGAAAGTGAAAGAAAGATAAGATCCCTGGAAGTGTTCCAGGCCAGGTTGGATGGGGCTTGGAGAAACTTGGTCTAGTGGAAGGTGTCCCTACCCATGGCAGGGGGTTGGAATGAGATGTTCCTTCCAACCCAAACCATTCTCCATGAATCTGGGATGAAGGACATGCTGGAATTGCAGAAGTCTTGGGCTCATGGAGAGCAGACAGGGAACCAACCTTCCTTTATTTCACTGCTCACCAATCCCTTGAGATTATCACCTTTTTAGGACTTTTCCCAGGAGCCACAGCTGGACTGACTGCCCTGTAATTCCCACATGCTCTTCCTTTCCCTCTCCCTTATTTGTCAGACCCCTCTCTTAAGGTCAGACAGGTGTCTGGGAGATGAATAGCTGGCATGGAATCCCACAAAATCCTGAGTTGAAAGGGATCCACAGGGATCAAGTCCAACTTGTGGCTCTGCACAGGATAACCCCAAGAATCCCACCATGTGCCTGAGAGCACAGGATGGGGGGAATGCCACCAAATTGTTTTATTCCATCTGCCTTTCTTACAGCCCCTCTGACTGCTCTGTGTGTGTTTGGCTTCGTACTTGAGGTAGAACAGACATTTTTCACCACTGAGCACCTTAATAAGTGAAAAAGCCTTGACTGCATCCTCCTCTTCCATGCCAAGCTTCATCTTCCCTCTTTCCTGTAAATGAGAACCTGTATTGTTTCTCCTCTTGGCCTCATTCCTAAGGTATTTCCATGCCTTTCCTTACCTTATGCTCCCGGACAGTTGCCTCAGGATTCTGTGGTGTCCCTTTGAGTTACCAGCCAGATGTGAGTGTCTCTGGGAATTTCTTTCTGAGAAGTACAACCTCTCACTTCCCTGAGATCATTCTCTCTCTTGTTTGGGTCTATCCATACCTGATGGGATATTTAATAGATTCACAGCCTGGAAATAATTATTACTGTGGCCAAAAAGTGTCAGGCATATCCATGACTGATTTCAAGGGGGAGATGTCCTGTACTCAAAGGGCTGGATTTTGAGATTTCTGGGAGCATTATTACAAATATATACAATAATATCCAAATGAGCCAGTAAAACCCTCTATTTTCCCACCAATTTATCATTACTTTTAGGTTTTCATATTATTCATAAGTATTTATTTTCCACTCTAGGAACTCCTGGGGTTTTGCTCTCCCGGGTGAACTGCTGGGACTGGCCTGGAATTTGCACCCAGGAGAATGTCACCCAGTTTCCCACCATTAAGATTTATGGGAAAGGAGAGAAGTCAGTGACATATGATGGCATGTGGGGAACTGAAGAGCTCACCAGCTTCATCATCCTGTAAGTGAGGAGTCCCTGCATGGGGAGATCTGCCAGATCCACATCTGGATACTTCATGATCTGTATAATGGAAATCCCTCTTGGAAAAATAATGCCGGATCTGATTATAGACCTGGTTTGGAAATTAATCTAATAACTTTTTGTGCTTTTCAGTCTCAGGGAACATCTGTTCTTGCACAGCACATCCTTCTGTTGTCACTGTCCCTTTTTCGGTTTTGTTTTTGTTTTTTTTTTCTGGAATTCCTTCTCTGTTATTTTTAATGGGGATCCCAAGGATCTCAGAGCAACCAGGGTGGCTCAGGGCTGTTCTCTCTTCCTCATAATCAGCTCCAGTGCCTTTCTCTGTCTGTCCTCCCTTCCCAGATGACTAATTTTTGTCTCTATTGAGGCATGACAGTTGTCACATTGGGCTGGAGGCCCTGTTGGATTGAGGTTGCCCTTTTGTCTCTTCCTCCCAAAGCCCCACGTTTTTCCTCTGCCTTTCCATAGGAGCCGAGTTTCCTGCCCACTGAAACTGGCCACGATGGACGAAGCAGAAGGATATTTAAGAGGAGAGTTTCCACCTGAGCTGTCATCCCATCACCACACTTCCCTTCTGGGAGTGTTTAGCACAGCCACAAGTGAAGGTCAGTGTGGTGTTTGTGGGTTAAGCACTCTTCAGCTTCATTCCTGGTGGGAGAGGGATGCTTCCAGGTTGCTTGGAAGTTCACAACACAGCCTGCCTGGCACTACCCTTTCTAGTTTTGCAAGCAGAGGATTGCAGATCATTCCAGATGTGGGACCTGGGGTCCATACTTTGCTCAGAGGACGTTCAGCTGCCAAGTGTGTTTACTACATCCAGTGTGGGAGTAATAACTTCCCAACAATCTGTCCCTGTTGTATCTCCTGCCCCTTACCCTGAAGAGTTTGGCTCTGTCCTCTCTGTGAGTCCCTTCAAAATAGTTGTAGGCTGGCATTAAATTCCCTCTTAGCCTCTGACTTAGCCCAGATCCATCAGCCATTCTTCACAGCATATTCTTCCTTAAAGAAAGCCCTTTCCACACTTGGATTCACAGTTATCTTGCTGATTCCTCCTGAAAATGGGGTGGTCCCAGTTCTTCAACACACAATCCAAAACTTTTACTTTTTTAAAACCAAAACAGCAGTAAGGTGAAATACAGATTTCCTGCCTCGAAAGGAGTGAAATGTGAATAACTCAGTGAAATCCAGTTGTGAATTTTGAAATAGGTGGACACAGAAATGCAAAGCAGAGCTGCTGGAAGGAGCGTCCTGAACTTGTTTGGATTTGTCTCACTCCGTAGTCTCGGTCAGTGCAGTCCTGGGCAGTGGCTGAAACTTGGAGCAGTGACACTCTCCCTGCCCTGCCTGCTCTGAGTCACTGGGATGGGCTCCAGTATCATCCCTTCCCTGCCATAGCTGTGGTCCAGGATCCACTGGGTTTCCACAGCCCTTTGCAAAAACAGGGAAATGGATCCCAGAGCTGCGGTGATTTTTCATGTGACAATCATATATGATAAAGGAGAGGGAATAAAGTCAGTCTGGAAAGGGAACATCGTGTTGTGTTTCAGGCAAATCATAGAATTATGGGATGGTTTGGGTTGGAAGGGATTTTAAGGATCATTTTTTCCTGCCCCCTGCCATGGGCAGGGACACCTTCCACTAGACCAGTTTGCTCCAAACCCCATCCAACCTGGCCTTGGACACTTCCAGGGATGGGGCAGCCACAGCTTGTCTGGGCTGGACTAAAGGTTTTTTTGGGATCAGTAAGATTTTCTGCTGTATTTACCAGATTAGATGGTCCTGAAGAAAACAGGGAATTAGCTATCAGCTGGCTCAGTGAGCACAGCCCAAGTGTTTTCCAGTTGGTTCCAGACATTCTGTTTTGTTCTTATCTCTGGGCACAGTGGATTCCCTCTGGAGCCCCTCACGTGAGAAAGTAGCTTGGTTTGCATTAAACCAAAGTTCAGAGGCACAACGGAGCTTTAAAATAAAAAACAGTCTGAAAGTTTGATCTTAAGCAGGATCAGAAAGTTCTCCTTTTTTCAAGGCAGTGATTCCTGGGGGAAGCTGGCAACTGAGAGGCCGTGGGGTGGGAAGGTCCCAGCTCTGCAGAGTGAGGCCCTGGCACAGGTTGCCCAGAGAAGCTGTGCCTGCCCCATCCCTGGAAGTGTCCAAGGCCAGGTTGGACAGGGCTTGGAGCAACCTGGGCTAGTGGAAGGTGTCCCTGCCCGTGGCAGGGGGTTGGAGCTGGATGATCATTCAAGTCACTTCCAACTCAAACCGTTCTGGGATTCTCTATAGAAGTTGTTCATTTCCTCCTGTGCAAACAAGAGCATTGGAGGTTTCCAGGCAGCTCTTTCCCTCTTCCCTCAGGGCATATCCATCTACAATCCGGAACGGCATCCGCAGTCCGGGGTAACTCAGCCGCAGGTGCCAAGGGAGATGAAATTCGGGAAGTGTTCTCCTCCCATAGCCCGGGGGTGTTGGAGCCTCCCGCAGAATGGCCTGAGGGAGCAGAAAACTGGAGCCAGCTGTTCAGGCACCAAACCAGGCTGGAGCCGGGAAAACCACACTGCTCCTCTTATCAACCTGAGGGCTTATCTGGAATTTCCAGTCGTTTTCTCACGGCAAGAATTCCTTCTCTATCCTGCACCGGCAATGGCACCAGGTCGTTGCCATTTCTAGTTAACTGAGACAAAGATGTTCAGCTAAATAAATCCCTGGATTTTTTCCAACCCTTAGCATGAGGACTATGTTAAGAAGCCCTTTGGTGGGTCTGAGCTAAAAGAGGCTTGTGGGAAAAATCATAATTAATATTTATTAGGAAGAGGGGAATGGTATTACGAGGGCAACGAACGAGCGTTTTCCTGGAAACTTGCAGAATTTTTAGAGGAGCGGTTTGTTTTCTGTGCAGAAACTGGAAGATCCTTGGAAGTAAGACTCTGTCCTAAACCCTGTGGCAAATATTTAAAAATAAACCTGTGTCCTGCGCTGCTCTGGCGCCTCACAGGGCTTGGCAGCACCAGTGGAAGCCAAGTGTTCAAGGAGTGAGAGATGCTCCAGGTGCTGCTGGAGAGCATGGTCAGGAGATTCCTCCTTCCAGAGGGATAAGGGGAGGTGCTCAGATCCTGTCTCCCAAAACTCTGCAGGGATTTTAGACCGTTCCTCACGTGGCAGCTTTGTTCCTTCTTGTTCCCAAATCAGTGAGGTTGTGCTCCTGCAACTCACAGCAGCGTCGTGGAAGGCAGCTGGGATTCCAGCTCCAGGAATGTGCTGCAGTGCCTGATCAGGTGCCACAGGGCCTTGCAACAGGGCTCTCAGAGGGACTAATTTCCTAGGAAGTATTGAAATAGATTCTTTAGAAGTGCATCTTCTTTGTGAATCTGGGGGGTTTCTGGCACAGAGCTGAGGGACTGTTGCTGTGAGCTGTGCAGAAACACGGGCTGGTGTGTGGCTCTGGGTCTGGCACAGCCCCCAAAATATGGGACAATTTGGAAGTGTGACAGGGAATGAGGATCTCATTAGGAATGACCCTGATGAAAGGAGTAAGCCTGGATTCTGCTGAAGGTTGTCCTTATTTAGAAGAGAATTCCAGCAGCCAGAGCTGCTCCAGGCACTTCAATATGAGCTTATGTCTCCAGGGAGGATTTAAAGCCTCTAGACCTGCTCCTTGGAGGAACCTGGGATGTGAATTTTTCCTTCAACACTAATTAAATCAGGTAACCAAGGACCAAAAGAGCTGGAAGCCAACTTCAAACGTAATCAAGAGTGATTTCTCTATATCTCAAGGTGAACCAGCCAAACTCTTGTTACCAGCTGTGTTGTATGTGTGTTGTTTCCTACTAAGTACATGGACCTGTTGGAGCAAGTCACAGGAGGCCATGGAGATACTCCAAGAGCTGGAGACCTTCTGCTCTGGAGCCAGGCTGGGAGAGCTGGGGGTGTTCAACCTGGAGAAGAGAAGGTTCCTGGGAGACCTAAGAGCCCCTTCCAGGGCCTAAAGGGGCTCCAAGAGAGCTGGAGAGGAACCTGGGACAAGGGCCTGGAGGGACAGGACAAGGGGGAATGGCTTCCCACTGACAGAGGGCAGGGTTAGATGGGAT